CAGGTTTAAGATTCACTTATTAACAGGCTTAAAATCATACACAGTTGAGGTGTGAAGTTTGTCTTCGTTCATAATGACAAACAAGTTATTGGGCTAATAGATCCCTGGCTATTCGTCACATGCTGACAATGATGGCGTAGGTTAGGAGCTTAATCATTTTAAATCCTAGCATTTAATTACTTACCAAGTTGTATATAAAGTTGGCCTGTATAATATGTTTTATTCTACATGAGGTCTTTTCTTTATCTGCTTTTGGTTTATGTTATTTGTAATCACAGTCTGATTCATTCATCCCCCTTCAGGTTACTAAACAAATGCTCTCCCAAATAGAAGAGAAATGCTTGGATTGGAGTTAAATGCTTTGGAGTTGATTAATGCTGTTTTGGTAAATCTTAAAAAATTATCAATTTTTAAGGCAATGCCCCTCCTTCCACTGCACAGGCACATGCACATTGTACCCCTGAATATGCCAGAGAAAGATAGGGCCAAATTTGTGGATTTATTGCACTAAAATTCCTGTCACAAAACTGTTTCCATATGGCTTCTCTTCTGCTCAGAGATTTTATATGCTGTGTATAAAGTGTTAGTAAATCCTGCTGTTCAGCTTGCTTCCAACTCATGCTGTGCACAATGAGCACTTGGCCATAAGTTTTGGCCTTCCTGCGTCCTGTTCTGTGTAGGGATTATGCATGCTGCGTTTCAGCGAATGGCTGAAGCCAGCTTGTTTCTCCTTTGTCTCTTTAGGTGGTGAATCCTCTGCTGGTGACTGTTTTGTCCCTGCGATTGTCAGAATGAGTCAGAAAATGAGAGCGTTAGTTGGGGACAGGGTGGTGGAAATCTTCATCCACTTCTTCTGGGCCATTTTCCTAGCCTTGTGCCCTCTAGCTACCCTGGCACCTGAGCCATCCTCAGTGGAACCAGCTCAGCATACCGACCCCGGTGTAAAACTCTGCTGTTTTTGCTGAGGTTGAGTTGGCAGGCTCTGAGGCTGCAAGGCACCAGGAGCACGTGGCCGAGGGGAGCGAAACGGTGCCTGGGTCAGTGGGAGGAGTCCTGCCCTTTGGCAACAGTTGAGCTCTTAGTTCGGGTCAAGCCTTTGTGTGCAACTTTACCCTGTGTCTCAGACGCCAGGGTCCATTTCTGCTGCAGTCCAGTTCAGTCAGTGGCAAAATGAGCAGGACTGAGCCCCTAATTTGTGAGGTTTTGCTGCAATGCAGGTGACTGTAGCAGCTCACTTGCTCACATCACGGGGCTGATTAGGGTCAGGCATCCACTGAAGGCAGCAGTTCGTCATCAAACGATGAGCAACTGCTAGTAATTATAGAACAATGGAGAAGGTGCAAGGTCAGTATTGTGAGCTGGTCAGGCTTTTTCTGGGATTTGTGTGCATGCCTGGTCACCTACATACACGATGATGTAAATCAAAATATAATAGGGCAAAAAATCCAAAAGCCCCAGGAGGACTGCTGTAACCAGACAAAGGAGAACACATCTTGTACGAGGAGCTTGGCTGGCAAAACGAAGACCAAGTGGGATGCTTTTCTCCATAAATACCTTAGTGAGTAAACACCCAGGAGAGAAAAGTGCTGCTTAAAGCTCACAGCCAAGATTTTTACAAGAACAAATGCGTGTAAAGTGGCCATGAATACATTTGGATTGGCAGTTAGAAGTTCTGAGACATTTTAAAAAGAGAAGGTGGGAGGAGGTGTGCCTGGTTGGTTTTAATTTTAAACCAGCAAGAATTGGATGGAGAATTTGTAGGGTCATGAGGCTTTTTAAAACAGTGGGCCTCTGTGTGCTGCAGGGGCAGAGTTGTCATAGCTGCCTGCTTGGGAGCGAACTCTGCAGTCGGTAGCCCTGAAAAGTGGTACAGAAACGCCCAAGCCTACTCAGTCTGTACAGCTACAGATACATGGTGCCATGCCTGACCTGGTGGTCACTAAGTCAAGGACTTCTCAGGCTGAGTTCAGCACCAAGCTGACTTACCTGCAGGTGTAGGCTGGAGTTATTTATCAGCATGTAGGTCTGCACTAGCGTCGAGATCTTTGCCGCGTGCTCCGTTGCGTAAAGTTGATACCTAATGCTATTCACAGCAGAGATATAAAACAAGCTGGATAAGTTCTAGTGGGCTATCTAGTATCGTAATTTGTATCACTGGATGATTATAGCATTAATGATTATTAAAAGAGAAAGTTCAACAGGGTAATACACCCTTTAATGTGGAAACAAAACTATGGGATAGAGTGGCATGATGGCGGACAAAGTGGTTTTGCAAGTAAGGCAGGTATGGGTGTGATCAGCAGTGGTCTTGCCACTTGTACAACAGTGATGGGCAACACACAAGATCTGCCGGAGTGACTTCTCCATGGGGCTATCCAGGGGTGGAAAGAACAAATATCTTTCGCAAGCCCCTTTGAGTTTCCTCTGCATGAATCGCTGCTATTTCTACTGTCGGCTTCACCCCCCGGCTCCTCCCCCCTCCCCCCGCCCGCAAACACGAGAAGGAAATCTTACTCCGTACCGCTTTACGTCTTTTCCAGTATGAAGTCGTGGTTGTTATGAGCAAGTAAACTAGCTTGGTGAGTACCAGTTCTCTTTCTCTTGCTCTTCTAGAGGGCATAAAACATAGGACTGGAGAGCTGGGCCCTGTCCTTTGCAACCATACGATGAAGGTCTGGAAGAGGCCAGAGCACATGCGTTGCAGGTGCACCCTACTTTCCGCAGGACATAAAACACTTTCCAGCACCCGATATCAGAATAGACCTGCAGTAAGAGATCAAAATCCACAATTACATTGTGCCAAGAACACTGCTGCCATCCTAAATCGGTGCAGTAGCGTGACATTTTCAGATGAGATTCTGCTGGTTGTTCTGGGACGTGTAGAAAACATAGAAGTTCTAGTATGTTTTTTGCTATAGTGTTTAGCAGCTTGGAATAGAGTTTCATAGCATGGAGTCTGTTACCCAATAATGTCACTGAGTCAAACAATAAGAGCCAAACACGTAGGAAAAAGAACACTAATTAATTATTTTAAGCTTTTCCTGAAATCTGCCTTAGCAAAGAACACATGTGTAGAACAAGTCAATCAGTGGTTGCCTTGTGTCCTGAAGATCTTTTTCTTTTACAAACCTTAATCTTGTATAAGGACTTCCAAGGCTCCTGTTTTTATTATAATTGCTATGTTTTACTGACATCTACCCTATAATTTGTCGTTTGCTTTTTGTCATTCCAGAGATTATTACAAGTTTTACTCTATGCTGTAATCATTGCCTAATTAAAGCTCTGAAAACCTTTATAATGTATAGGTTTAACAGATGCTGTTTGATAGCGACTTCATTTAGTTTATCCAAAAAAAAAAAAAAAGAACCAGCAAATAAATCAATGTTTTATACCAGCCAGGGAATGAGTTCTTGCTTGAAGCTAAATCCTTTGTAGACCGAAATTGTCAAACTGCAGAGCCGTTGTCAGCCTTTTAAAGTGTTGCGTAGGATGAAGAGCTGCTGTCTCTTGGAAACCTATTTGCAACCTATGTTGAAAGTCCAACAGAAAATTTTAGTCCTACATCCTGAAGAGTGATTTTTTTTTATACTGTCAAGTCAAACTCAGCCTGCGGACTTGAACGGTTACATTCTTGAGATGCAAGGAGGTGAAATGAAGGAATTCGTATGTGTTTTGGGACAGTGTTGTCTGTTATCAAACAGTGGCAGAGAACACCACTGACTACGCAGTAGAGAGCAGGTGAAAATTGGAGGAAATGGAAAAAAAATTTAAATATCTCTATACAAAATATATAATATATAAATAAAAATCTCTCTCCACCCCCCTATATATATGTATAGCTACATATATATATAAAAGGTATCTCTTACTCAGACATGCCATGTTCTGACATGATTAAAAACTAGACAGGTACTGCTGAAGTGAATGCTTGGGGTCAGCCGCAGGCAGGCTGGAGGTGAGCAAGGAATACCCATCAAATGTCTCAAATCAGACAGTAATTAGTAAGAGGCTTGAAACTGAGTTACAGCTTGAATTGCTAAGGAAATAGGCTTAACTTTTAGAGAGCTTTGTTTGAAACTAAGCAGAACACTGGAGGATGCCTTTTCATAAGTATCCTTCAAATTTGCCTAGGTAATGTTACTCACCAGCATGTTAGTATAGCTAGTACTCTGTAGGGAACTTAAAACTCGTGCAGAATATTAGATGTTGGTATTAAAACTCTGGCTCTTAACCCAAATCAGACCTGTTCAGACAGTCCCAGTTGTCAATGTTGGCCTGTATTTGTGTGTGCAAAGTCTTTATTTGTATGGGCAAATGCATCTGTATGCTCTCAGCTGGAGCGCGTGCAGGTATGTATTCCAGAGAATAGACACACAAAATACAGTGAAATCTTGGAGGTGGAGACTTTTGCAGGCAAATTATAAATGTGTTTGTAAGTACTTGCCACTTAGAACTGCTTATCCTTGATATGGTATGTCGCTGTTCAAAAACAAATCTTGATGTTCAACGTTAGTGCTTTATGTTTTTAGATTGAAGAGGGCCGTTTATTTTCTCTAGCGACTTCTAAACACACATTATTCTGGGACAAACTCCACTGTTACGTATGTTTGTAGGTTCACACATCTGGGAATGCCAATTGCCATTGATTAGAGCAACTCTTGAAACTTGGAATCTGTTCAGTTAGAGCAATGTAAGAATAAAATGCGTTTTTCCTGTCTTACTTAAAGGGGTCGTGCAACCGCATTTTCCCACTGTTGAAAATGTTTCTCCTGCTCTGTGAAAAACGCTGTCCAACAGCAGAGAAAATAGCGTACAGTAAAACAACGAATTTAACTATACACCAACTTCTATCAAATATTTTTTGAGCCTTCACATATTTTTTCAGGCTAATCTCTTTCAGCTACAGTAATCTTAGTTGTTAGTGGTAACGATGGCAGGTAAGACCATTTTCAGACAAACATGTGACCTTTAAGTTGACAGTGTGCTCTAATTGGTTTCAGTGAAAGACCCCTGTGCAAGTGGGACTGGCGGATGCTCACAGATCTGTCAAAATGAGAGAGGAGTTGCAAAATGCGAGTGCCATCCAGGGCATTATCTTTCTGCAGACAGAAAGTCCTGTTTAGGTAAGAAACTGCATGTGGGCTGTTTATTGGGAAGAGAGGTATTATTCAGTGTTCTGGCTTACTGAGCTTTAAATGGAAGTGAATATGTTATACAAATGTATGTGTGCGTTTTGAAACAACAGTTCTTTCTGTGATATTTTTTTCAGCCAGTAGTCTTGGAGGACCCTTTTAGTAATGAAGATTACCCCATGTGATCTCTTAAATCATGCTTTTGTAGCAATTGGATTTGTAGATATGGTGGCATTATTCTTGTATGGTGCCTTTAAAATAATGCCCCAGATATAGCTCCTCAAAAATTGGTTCAAGTGACACTCTGAACCAGGTCACTGACAACCTATTTAGAATTCAAAAGGCTGTTTAGCTGGAGAACTGCTTCCATATTAATAGAGAAACTACTGAGAAGAAAGAAATTGTGAAGTCTAAGATTTCCAAGGAGCTTAAAAAGTTGAATTCCAAAGTCCCCTATTTAGTCTTGGATTTTCAAAAGGATCTAAAGGATTTCAGACGCACAGTCGGTGGGAATTAAGGACCAAAGTATCTGCTTTTCTCTTTTAATGTGATGTTTGGAAGCCAGATAGTATATCAGTTATATGAAGTGCTAAGCACCTATGGGCTTCATGGTGAACTGATTTTGAACAGCATTGTCAATAGCAGGGTACGTATTCAGGCAGTAATTTTAAATTACTCTTTTAGAAAACTTGGCCAGAACTTTAGCAAGACTTAAATCATTGTCTTAGACAGTGTGCTGAGTGCTTAGCAAAGTACTTGCTTCTTGCCCTGAATATTTTACTCAAAGGCCTGTAAACTCTACTGTGAGTAACACTGAACACATAAGTAATTGCACTGTTTTCACGGGGGTTACTCAGCTCAGTAAAGTTACTGACCAGCTAAAATATTTTCAAGACACTGCAGTGATGATTAATCGGTGCAAACAGCAGTAGATTTAATAACAGGGTTAGAACGTGACTCATTTTATCCGGGATACACGTTGACAATTCTGTTAATTTATGTATAACCTAATGCACCAGATAACTTGCAATGCTATATATTGGAACAAATTTTCTTCCTGACCTCATGGCAAGTCTTGAATCATTAAGCTTCATTTCTTACTGTGAATGTTCAATTATTGGTTTTGCTCCTAGAAATTGTTCAATGCCTTTTGCAAAATTCAAGCTAAGTATTTGACTTTTCAGAAACCAAGCTAGGAGGAGGCAGAGGGCAGGGGAGCTCATACTTCAGCTATTAGCTGTATTTACAGGATATGAAGAAATGTATGCAGGACAGCAGCTTTGGTATGGTTTTCCAAACTTTTTTTTTTTCTACTCGAGAAGGAGAAAAACAAGAACACTTACAACATTTGCCAACATATTCTACTTGCAAAGTGACAATTAATTACAGAAAAAGGAAAAATAACCCATTTTATTCTGAGCAGCAACTACACACGTTGCTGCTTCAGAGAAGCTGTCATTCACCCTTAAATTTTCATGACCTCATGAAAGGCTTTTGCAATGCCTGGGGCCCCTTTTTGCAAGTAGGCTGATTGTGTTCAAAAACCTACTTGTGCTCAAGTGCAGGAGTCCATGAGAGTAGCAGAGAATACCTCCTCGTCTCATTGCATGGGACTTCCTATAGCATATAGAGAAAAGAAACTGTTTTGAAGTGGTTTGCTGTGGTAAAAAATAACAGTCCGCCCACCTGAAGTTCTTTCCTGTGTGAGAAACAGTCTGACCCATGGTCATTGCATTGGATAATCTATATTTTGCAAGCAAAGTATCAGAACAAGAGAAGTAGCAGGAAGTCAGTTAGGTGTTCGGCATGTGAAAGGTGATGCCAGCCTTTGCAAAGAGAGTGGTGTTTTCTGCAGCTACACTCTACAGCAGCAATATTTAGTAACGTTTTTTGTTTTCCTTTTTTTGTTATTATTCATTAAAATTATTCTCATGCTCTGCCATTGAGCTTTTTAGAAGATGGATGACTTTAGTGGCGTTTACCTGCAAATATAGACTGTAGATCGTAAAGATGAGGAACAGGTTGCTTGACAGAGGTCTTTGTGAAGAACAGGCTCTGCATGCAGAGCTCTTCACCTTTTTTCTTTTCTCGCAGATGGGGTGACACTCCTTTGATTAGAGTAGCTGCCTCTCAGCTGGACTTTATGTAGAAGAAACTGCAAGATTCAGGGGTGTGACAGAGAAGGTCTGTCTCCATCGTACCTGCTGAGAACTACCCACTACTTAATCCAAATCAGTTGTCACTGATGAAGTAATCAGATATTTCCTGCTCCATCAATTTAAATGTCACGGCTGTGAGGACCTAGTGATATTTTTAGGATATTTTTTTTCCTGAGTTTTTCAGGTGGCTTCTTTTCCTGTTGCTCGTGGTACGTTAACAATAAACAAGCCACTGTGGCTGTTTGGCCACTGAAAATATAATGTTTAATATTGTAAATATTCATTTTGAGGGGCTCAGGGTCCGCAGTATTAAAATAAAAAAATAATAATTTTGGGGAGCAGTGCTGTGGGTTTAGCATTTCTGGATTCGTTAGATGCTGCCATGCGCAGACTAACATCAAGATGCTCTTTTCAGTGGACATTTGGAAATATATCCACATGGGTGTAGAGTGATGTTGGTTTTTATCTTAATATCCAAATGGATGTCTCTGCTTCACAGACATTGATGAGTGTGCAGAAGGGAGAGCCAGGTGCGCTCATTGTTGTGTGAACACTCCAGGATCCTTCACCTGTGTGTGTAATCCCGGCTTTGAGCTGGGGGCTGATGGAAAGCAGTGCTACCGTAAGTGACAGCTTTGCAGTTATGCTTTTCAGGCTATCTTATCTGGAAAATGCTATGCTTCATTTTTAATTCAGTTAGATTAGAACTCCCAGCAAAATAAATGCATGCAAAAGCTCAAGCTTAATATCATTTTATTCAGCGTATGCTGTTGCCGCTTTTGCAGTTGATACATTCTTAAGCCTGTGTACACTGTTCTTAATTACTGCATTTCAAAGAGCAAGTAGCCCGGCTGGTTTCTCTTCAGAGTATAGTGAATTCTGTTCCAGAGCTACCAAAAAGACAGCTATTCTATGAAATGTATTCACTCCTGTCCCCATCTCCCAGTTTTCTTGTGTTCCGGATCTGATGTAAGAGAAAACCAACTTGATGTTCTGCTCTCATCTTTATCTGTCAAGGTTTACTGACGTTTTCTCCTGAGATTATCGACGTTATTAAGCAGACGCTATTAAAAAAAAGAAAGGAAAAAAAAAAAGGAAGGAAGCAAATTTGGGCTGAAAAAAGTAGTTATACAACTAAAATTTCCCAAACTGAACCAATGCTGAGCCCTGCTGTCCCCCCTCACATACTTAATACTTGCCAGCAAGGTCTCTTAAGCAACACCGCTTTTTTTGAGAAGGGGACTGACTTGTAGTCCTGGGCTGCCCTTGAGGGTAAATTTAGATTAATAAAGGAGGTGGTGTGGAAGAGCTGGTGTTATTAGGGACCTAACATAAGCTCACTGGAATGCAGACAAAAGCGTGACCTGTTTTAGCAAAGAGGCAGGCAAAGATTGTTCAACCTAATAATACTGTGCAAGAACTTTCAGCAGAATTTCCTTAGGAAAATATCCTACATGCCAGAGAATGAATGCATTCGTTAAGAATTTATGTGTAAGAAATATTCAATAAGGAAGAAAATCAGTTTCAAAGCACTGACATAAATTAAAAACAAAAACCAAGCGTTAGAGAGAGATACTGGTGAGTTATTTTGTAAGTGATGGGGACCTGAGAATAGTGCAATGGCAGAGGAAATACAATTAATGTATAGATAGGAAATGATCTGTTATGGGGACAGTAAAAGTGGTTTGGACTGCTTAGATTTCACTGTGATTTTCCGAAAAAATTTTTCGCAATGTTCAGCGAGTGTCTGTGGTCATCGTTCTTTGTGCCCTATGTTATTAGGGAACAAACCCTAAAATTAAACCATTCTGCATATATTTTTGATCAGAATTATCGCAATTTTTGAGCAATTTGCATTCTTTATTTATTCTCCTCTTTACCCTGAGAAATATGGAAGTACTGTTATTCCAGTTTAACTGATGAAGAACTAAGACAGACACAGTAAATGACCATGACAGTTTATTTTCAGTGTTAAGGATATTGTTTCCTGAAGTATGTGGGTGGGAATGAGATGGAAAGATGCTTCCTTTCCTATATGAGAGTTTCTAGAGGACCTGGCCCAAATTTTGTGAGGACCGTGCAGTGCAACCAACTGACAGAGGTTGGGGTGGTCTCTGTCAGGGTAAGCGGGCAAGCGACTAGGCGTCCTATCTTTACTCATAAGGTATTGAACAAAGTCTTACTGGAGTTGCCATACGCACAAGGAGCTGCTATACCCCTCCTCGACCAAGCATCGAAGGGCCAAAACATGCAGGTTATCTTACGTGCTCCTGGTTAGTTATCGGCCTTGGGAGCCTGAATTCTGCCATGAAAATGTAGAAGGCATTTGTGTTTGGTGGATGTTTTAGAAACTGACTCCCACTCACATACAAAGCTAAAGGCTGCTTTTTGGAAAATAAGATTCAGCTGTGAAGCCCTCTCTGTCTAGCTGTCAGGATTTCTCAACTGCTTCCTTTTCTCCTTTGGGGCAAGGGCAGAACTCACTGCTATGTTCAAACAAAACACAAATCTCCAGAAACCTGTGAATACTACTGCAACAGGTCAACTACTAAAATGGTGAACCAGCTTCATGTTACTGAAGTCGAAAGTATCCACTGCTATGACACAAGAAGACATATATCTAGTGTTCAGTGACTCAAAAATTTGCTGTTCTCTGGTGTACGTGCTAGCTTATATTATATTACCTGCTACAGCAGTCAGTTTATGGATGCTTTTTTGCAGGAGGGTTATTCTCCAGTTACTCTCCTCCCACAGTTGCTTTTTAACATCCTTTTGATTCATCTCTCTGCAAGGCATCGAAATGGAAATTGTCGATAGCTGCCAGAAGAACAACGGTGGTTGCTCTCATCGCTGTGAGCACACAACCGCTGGGCCTCGCTGCTCCTGCAATGATGGCTATCTGCTTGGTTTTGACGGCAAAACATGCACAGGTAATTTATGATGAATCCTGCATCGTGTCAGGAGAAGGGAGGAGGTGTTGCTGGTCTGTCGGAAGGAAGGAGGGTCTCCTCTGCCAGGGGACGTCTGGAGGAGAGCTGTCACTGGAGGAAATACCTTTCCCTCCCCTTCCCTTCTCTTACAAATTTTAATTAATATTGTCCTCTGGCACTTCCTTAGTCGGTGCTCTAGCTTGCCTTTCTGTGTGCATTTGATGGGATTATTAATTTATGAGGAGAAGAGTTTCTTCTTCCCAAATTAAAATGACACCTCTGTGCAACTTAAATTGTCATGGCAATATTTCATTGTGTACAGCCTAAGCAACGGTTTTGTGTTTTTTTTTTTTTTTCTCCTTACATTCCTCAGCCAGCTGTTGGAGGAGAAGATTGGCTCTAGCTGTGAGTGTAAGGACCGCTTTTCAGAAGCGTTTCACATGCGGGCTCCACTGAGCATTGTGGAAGCTGCTCTATTTCCATCAGATTTACTCACTGATGAGCTTGCACTTCTAACTGTGTGAGAAGTTACACTTCAGAAGGGAAAGCAGTAGAATTAGATTTGTTTTTATTTCAAGAGAAGAGCTTAAAAATTCCTTCATGTTTTATACAATTTTACGATGTGATTTTTTGTGTTTATAGCTTTTGCTATGCAAACTGTATTTCATGCTGTTTTAGGGTTTCTGTCACTGTGCCATTAAAAATTTAAAGAATAGCCAAGATGAGAAAACAACCCCAGAGGAACAGGCATCACAGAAAAGTACAGTAAGATTTGAAGAGAGCTAGAGGGCAGGAAATCTTGTGAATAGGAGAAACGTTGCAGACTAGTATCAAAAAAACCCAAGTGCAGGACAGATGAGCAAGCAGAGGAGGAAGGAAAGTATAGAGGCCTGTAAGGGTGGTTGACAGCGGAGCTTGAAAAAGGGAGGAGAAGAGGGAAGGAAGGCAGATTTGGACCCTGGCTTGAGCAGAGATTGACTGGAGCGGGATTCTCCAGTCTCCTTTCTCTGTATATGTGAAAGGACTTAGAGTAGCATTCTGCCCAGGCTGTTGTTCAGAGGCCTGCTAATGGAGATTTCAGAGGGAAAACAGTTACTCTGGCCACAGCGAGGGAAGTGAGCGCGTAGGTGAAGATTTTGGCAAGGCTGAGGAAGTGAAAAGCTGTTCTTAGCAGCAAAAAATTCCTATTTGTTGGATGCACGCTTCACATTCCTGCACGGACAATGGGCTCTTAACAGAACCCAGAGCAAGATATCATCTGAAATATTGCAGAGAAGCTCTGCTCGTGACATTTCTGGAAAACATGCCATGTTCAAATAACCTGCATTAATCATTTTCATGCTGACCTCGTCACCTCGATTGATTAATTACATTTTCTTTCTCCTCTTTCTGTTGTCAGTGTTTCCTAATAATGCTGATACTCTTTCCAAGGTTAATTGAGACACTGACCTTTCACATCTGTGGTTGCTCATCTAGGTGATATTCAAAAGCCTTTTGCAAACTCAGCATTGACAAGGTACCCCTTGAATGGGTGCTGAATAGCTCAACTGACTGAAAGGGCTGAGATCAGCTGGGAGCCTGGAGTTAAAAGATAGCAGCTTGATTCTTGTATCTAATCATCAGGACAGCAGCTCCAACCATACCAATTTCCAGATGGACACAAGGCACAATAAGGCAATGGCCTATCCGTAATCAAAAAGTACAATTGCGCCTGACAGTTCACCCTGACGACAAATACTCTGTTGGATCAGAGCTTTGTTTCACTGCTAGTTTATGTTGAATATGGTTGAACATGCTAAAGGGCAAATGATTATCTATAGATTGCTGTTAAATAGGTGTCATTTATTTGCTGGTGAGACCTAGCTGATGTCGTCTGTTTTATCAACTACCTGGTAGCATCTGAGACTTGCAGACAGGATGCATATCCCTAGACGTGGTGCATATCCACTGCTGTGGATGAAGGCAGGAGCCAGGCTGCTGTCAGGATTCAAACAACATTTTATGTGGGCAACAGGAGAGGAAGAAATTGAAAGGCATTCGCTGAAAAGCGCAATAGCTACCTACCAAAGCTGTGACAGTTAAAATGAGCAGTAGCGCGTTCATAGCAGTCACTGAGCGTGGATCCTCGGGAGCGGTTTTTTTGCAGCACAGACTGTGTCTGGGGGCTGCGCTGAGCTGCCCCCTTCCTTGCAGAGCGGGATGAGTGCGCGAGCGGCGAGGCCTGCTGCTCCCAGTTCTGCATCAACTACGTAGGCAGCTACGAGTGTGCCTGCAAAGCGGGCTTCCAGCTGAATGCCGATGGCTGTGGCTGTGACGGTAAGTGGTTTAATCCTGATGCCTCGGTCTAACTAAGCACAACAGAGCAAGGAAGAGAAGCCTTCGAAGCTCATTCCAGTGTTCTCTAGCAGTTTCCCCAATGAGAGAACTGGCGGCCGTATGCCAGCTTTGCTGAGAAGGTTTTACAAATGTGATTTCCATTTTCTGAAACTGAACTACAGTAATAACTCGGCGTCCAGCGTGGACAAGTGGGGCTGTGGGAGACAGGTCAGCACAGGGAAACTTTTCTTCCTCTCTCTGCACAAACACTATACTGACCTGTTTTAAAGACTGCTTCCGCAAAAGAAGAGCCCCCAACCTATCCAGAGGATCATCAACTGAGCTTAACAGTTTAAAGCAGCTGTGTTTACTTAAGACAAAAATATAGATGAAATAATCTGTTGCATATTGCTCTGAAATTTTCAATACTAGAGGAGAAACAGAGATCCCCCAAAGTACTAAGAAAACAGGGTTTTCATATGTCCAGAGTAATTTTTCAGATGCAGCTAGGCTTAGGCTGCCCTATCCACTCAGACGTACCTGTGCCTAATTAGCATTTATGTTTGGTTTTCTAGATGTGGATGAGTGTCGTCTTGATAATGGTGACTGTGACCATTTCTGTGTTAATTCTCTGGGATCATATGAATGTGCATGCAAGGAGGGTTACAGGCTTGGTATTAACAGACAGTCCTGCATTGGTAAGTTATTTTTACACATTGAAGGCCTTTAAATATTCCTCATTGAGCATGTGAATTCAGAACCAGGATTTTCGAAGACCCTGGGACTTTGGGACGCCAACTCGAGCCATCTTTAAACGTGGCCAGGGTAGCACTATATGCAGCACGGAGATCCCAAGTTCATATTCAAACAATTGGCTTTGTCAGAAATTAATGGAAGGTGAACATTTATATCCTTTGGACATGCCTGAAAACATAAACCTTCTGTTTTTAGAAATAAATACTATTTTGACGGTTTTCTCTACTGTTTTATCAAGAAGTTTAATATCCTGTGGGGGGGAAAAAAAGCCAAATTCTGCTGTGATGAACTACTGCAAGCTTTCCACTGAGGTCAGTGGCGTGATTCTGGATTTCAGCCAATGTAACCAGAAAAAGAGTTTAGCCTAGCTACTTAGTTTCATAACCTAGTTTAATACCTACTAAACTTTGGGCCAGAGCTTGATATTTTGTCTAACTGCAGACAAAACAAAAAAAAAAGCTAACTGATTTCCCATCATTTTAAGGCTCCGATTTTAGTTTTTGAAGATGAGTTGAACAGCCAGCCTCATCTATATTTTTGATCTCCAAAACAAGCTAAAGTAGTGACCTTAATTAACTGCAAATAGTCTCAAACTTCAGCTAAGGAAAATTAAACTACCAATTTAAAATTTAGCACAATAATAAAGATGGCCTTGGCCTGAGCTCCAGATCATCCCAGGTCCAGAGTTTATTTCCAGAAGAAAAGAAAGGGAAGCATTGTGGTTTTTTCTCTATTTTGGATAATGGAATCTCCGTTTATAAATGCAGACCATAAGATAAATCAGCTGAAAAATCTAACAGAAAAGTTGTAAATGGGGACGGTCTCGCAAATTAAGACAGGCTCGGGTCCTAATGCTGTGTATGTCCTAGCGCTAGGCAGTGCCGAGGTGGAGGCAGACGTGGGCTTTGCGGGGATTCCTGGTCTGCAGTTCAGACACCCACCCCAGCTCCTTCGCTACGCGGTTGCACTCGACCCCTTCTACGAGGATGACGACAAGCGAGGGGAGCTCACGCTGACACACAGAGTTGGTGAGTGAAAGAGCCACTGTTTTTTGTAGCAGTGGCAAACTGAAGGAATAGTCTTTGAAGGAGAATTTGGGGAAAGAAGGAGGCTGAACCAGACAGGCTGAAGCTGTCAGGAAAAGACATTACAAGTAAAGACTGAGCGTTAAGTCTATTTCCTTCCCATCTTCTAAGACTGCTGGGAAGGAGGTATTCTCTGAGAGAAGGGGTCTCCTTGTCGCACAGCAGCGGTCTTCGGAGGGCTCCGGGAGCGGCACACTGGGCAACAGCCCTTTTGGTTCTTGCTTTGGACCTGAGCGCTGTGCCTGAGCCCTGTGTGTGCACCTGCTGGAAACCAGAGGCGCTTTCCGCTAAACAGGAGTGCACAGACTCCATTTTCTCGTATAGCATTGTTATATGTTACTCTATACCCTGTTGCCTTAAATAAGACTTGCTTGGGCAACAGGGAGAAAGGCTCCCATCTTGGCTGCTTCTGTTGGAGTCTGCTAGGGAGAAAGTGGGGAAGCGAGAGGAGGGAGGCCGGGATAAAGCAAGCAACACAAGTAGGAGATGGGAGACTTCAAAAAGCAGGATATATTCTCCAAAGCCTCAGAGGCAACAGGCAGAAAGATCCTTCTCATGCTGCCAGAGAGGGAACTGGGTAGTTTTTTGCAATGCACAAAGTCCACCAGAGCTTCTGTACTGAGAGCAAGCCCGTAGGAAATATCCCTCTTGCTCCCCTCCCCTTTCTCCCAGAGTTAGGGAGAAGATGGGGCATTTTGGTTCATAAACTCTTTTGGTTTTTTTTTTGTTTTGTTTTTGCTTAAGATGTTTGTCATTCCTATTTGTGATAAAGCACAATTTACCTCTAGAGATTCAGGTCCCTTTGGATGGCTTGGGCACGTTCTAAGGAAAAAGCATGGATGTTTCCCTTAAGGCCTTGGCTGACTTAGGGGCCTGTCACAACTGGTGATGAACTAGAACAATGCGAGTGTACGCAGCCGTAGCAGTGAGTGCATATAGCACATCATGTGCCTCTTCTAGCAAACAGCTTTGTACTCCACCGAGACTTTGCATGACATTCAGGATTCACCTGTGTTTCCAGCTGAACATGGAAACTTCATCACTTAGAGCACCATGAGTTCAAAAGTTGTGCTTGCTTTTTGATGAGGGCGTTATACGGTGGTACCTCATGAGGGAGGAATGAGATTTATTTTCATTATTTATTTCCTATGATTTTTGTATCTGTAGAGTCTCATGAGCTCCAATTACTCATCCAAGGGCTGTGCTGTACAGCCAAATTCAGGAACTATTCTCGGCTTTAATCCAATGTTTAACTTACATTTATGAACAGAACTGTTAAGACCTCCCAGATCACATAGCATCCAGGTGAACTCAGTGATATTGATAACCAACTGGGAAATGGACAAAAAAGATAATTTTGCCCATGGTTATCAGGCATAGAAACTACAATCAAATATTGATTGACCAGTTTTAGCATGTTGTTTTCATGTTTAACCACATAAATTTGGGTGTTATAACTCACAGCTGAGCATTTGCCCTTTTTCGAAAGCTGAGAATTTGCAGCACTTGATGGTCTGTAGGAAAAGCTGATGAAGGAATGAAACTTTTAATGGTTTAGTAAGTTCTTTTACCTCCCAAACACCAAACTATTCTTTATACTTTCAAACGTATTTTTGTGCTGCAAAACACAAAAATGCTCTTTAAACAATAAGCTATTGCAAGTGATTGCTTTTTTTTAATAGATTTAATGACTTTTTAATGTGGAAACATGACATTTTTAATGGTAATTTGTATTCTTTTTTGTTGATGTGAATTTTCAGCATGTTCAAAGTGGGAACACTGGGATTCTGACTGTTTTTGAAAGCTTACGCATTTGTTCAGCTTTATAAAAAGGAACAGTTGGGTGCTGGGACATAGAGGAAATCTGACCTTACATAGAAAATTGCTGATGAAAAGCAACCAGCCTGCTGACTTACTGTTAGCTGAAGTAATCTGCCAAACTTGATTTCAGGTGTTTTTCAAAATCCCTTTCCAAAAAACCTCAAGCTACATCCATAAAACCTGTCAGGCAGTAGACTGACCATGTGGTTATGTTCTTAATGTCACTGAGATATTTTAGCAAAGATTCGCATTTACTTTCTGTGCCTTTGTTAATAGACGCCACGAAGAGAGAGAGTAAGAGTGCATGTGTGTGTGCATGTTTTTATTTGTGTGCAAGAGAGAAAAGGAAGGCAGGGAAGGTGAGGGAAGAATGCATTTTCATATTTCTCAGTTCTTCCATATAAATATGTCCTTTTTTCATATCAGGCAGTTTTTAAAAATAGTTTTAAGCACTCTTTGAGATTTACGGTATGCAATGGAATTAATTCCAGCTGGAGTTCCGGCTTTCCTTTTATTTAGACTCCAAAATTTGAAGAAGAAAATCTGAGACGCTCTATTTGGACCCCCCTTTTGGGATGCTCCAGTGATATTCGCAATGCTAACACCATTAATATTTTTTTTTTCAGCCTGTCAGTGCTCTGCACATGTCCTTTTGGCACTTGTGCGTCTGGAGCGATAGGTGAGAGCTTGTGAAAGTCTTATCTGTGTGCTCACTAAGCCTCCTGTATTTTTCCATTTCAGTTTGCCTTGATAATACTTTTGGCAACGACTGTACCTTGAGCTGTGAGGATTGTATGAACGGAGGCAGATGCAACACTGAAAACAGTGGCTGCATTTGCTCACCTGGATGGAATGGCATTATCTGTAATGAAAGTGAGTACTGTATCTTTGGATGACATTTGAATGTTAGGGACTTTATCCTAGTGCTGTGACACTGTAGGTAGGTAGGAAATAGTAACAAACTGTTGTTCTTTTAATCCAGAAAGGTCTTCCAGGAGTACAAGTGTCTCATTGGCAGATCAAAATTTTATGATAGCATGGTATACTAAACTGCAAGGGATGCTGCATTTTACAGCAAGAACCCTCAAACCATCTACCGTCCAATACAATGCAGCATCCTCTGTAAACTATTTATGTCAGTATTCGTTCCTATTCACTTTGAATGCTGCTGCAGAATGCCAAGGTGCGGTAGTGTGTCTGCCATGCTTCGTTCCACAACTTGCTCAGCTGAGTTTCAGAAGTCTGTCCTGGCAGGTGGTGTAACAGTCTGGGTTGACCTATATGCCCAATGTGATTTTTCTTTTATAGAATCCCAGAGACTTTGCCGTATTTTTTCTTGTGTTGGTAAACTTGGACGTGTTTTTTCTCTTGCCTTTCATTCTTACTGTTATTTAACATGATTTCCTTGGGTTGGTTAATTTTGAATATTGCAAGTTGTATTTTTTCAGAATTCTCTTACTGAGTTGGCCAGAACTCTCTATATAAAGTTTTTTAGTTTCCATATTCCTGTCTACTGGTTCAGAAGTATATTCCAAAACCAACTGTATAGACAGAATGGCTATTTCTTGATGTACAATGCACAGTTCTTTATCTACGGTTAGGCAAAACTTATGTATTACTTGCCTGAGATTTCACAAAGCAGTTCTTGCTATATGTTTGAGATGGGCCTCTTTGTTTGTGTTCGTACTATATAGTGTGATGGCCCATGACACTGGGAATTGTCTTTGCTGCATTGTCACTGATGAGACAAAGAAACACTGAAGAATTAATGCTTAGCGTTGGTAGACAGTCATCTTCAGGTTAATCGCTGTCAGGTTTGTTTTGGAGACATCGTCACAAAGACAAAAATGGAGAAACAACAGCAAATGACTGAAATGAACATTCTGCCCTTAGTTATTTTGGGAGCCCAGTCTTGGATTTGGTCTATAAACATTGGTTACAGATGAGAGAATAGGAAGGAAGAGGAGTAAAATGATAATTTCTAGTTTACCTAAGACAATTCAGCCTGTCGGGTTAGGATGTTTTTACTTCATGGCACTTTAGTGGTTCAGGATAGATTATAAAATGTTCACGATAGGATTCAAATTATTTAATTCACTTCATAAATAATGATAACACTTTTGTTCTATATTTACGATGGATTTCTGGGCTTGTAATCTAGAGGAATTCTCCTTTGGAACTTAAAGAGTAACGAATAGCGAAAGTGCATTATTAAGTCAAACCTGCAGTCCTACGAAGCAGGCATTAACAAGGATAAATGCAATATATGATCGGTATGAATTAGTCATATATGAGTGCTTTCGTTCTTTTTTCTTGTTTTCTTAAAATACAGCATGGTTCATGGTTTTAGGGGAAGCTTAACAGTTGAGAAAACTAGAACTAAATTTCTGTAATAATGCACAGAAGAAACTGAAAGAAAATTGATGTGAAATGTCAAGTTTCTTAATGTACATTGATAAAATGTCAGTTAAGTCAGATGGTTCCCATAACTGTATTTACTCAGCTAGCTCAAGCTGCAAATAATGGAGCAATGCTCTATTTCACAATTTCTTTTACGCTGGAAGAGTTTGAGCTTTAGGAAGGAATCCCATGCTGTTATGGATCCGTTTTGTACACAGTTCTCTGTGGAATTTCGGAGACGCTAAGTATTTTAGACAACTACAACATTATTTTTATAAAAGGCCTTTTGGGGAAAAAAAAAAAAGATGTGCAAAATATTTACCTCCAAATATTCAGAACAGTGCTTCAATTTTAAACTTTGTACTTCTTATGCAATGTTTCTTAAGACTCATGAATTATTCGGAGGGGAGAATATACATGGGAGAATTTGGATATTGGGATTTGGAAGTTCCTTCAGTAAGTAAGCCTGGTTATTTCAGGTGTCACTTTAAAATGATCTGTCTAGCAAATATTGAATGAATACTTATTACCTTATATATTTAGAGCCTGCTTGGCTAAAGCGATTCTTCCATTGCTCAGTTGGGATGACGGAAGTCTTATTTCACTTCATTTCTAGCAGAGGGAAAAATTACTTTGCCCATTCATCTTCTCTGCTTTCTCTGCAGCTTGCTCCCCTGGGACGTATGGGAAAGACTGTGCCAGCATTTGTAAGTGTCAGAACGGAGGCTCCTGTGACCCTGTAACAGGGCAATGTCGCTGCCCGCCAGGAATTCACGGAAAGTTGTGCGAAGATGGTATGATTTCTGTTGTTTTGCTGGATGGGGTTTATGCCTGGAACCTCACAATTTCCTCTTGTTCCTAGCTAGAAGTAAATGCGCATGGCTCGTCTGAAGGGCCCAAACGAGAATAATCTCCACTGTACAAGACATAACACCTATGAGCGACTTGCAGTGCTTTTTATTTAAATACTAGACAAGAAAAGTGTGAGAGAAAGTGAGCGCGCTGTAAGGATGGGATACAGAGACTCAGCCCTAGGTCAGTGCCAAAGTCAGTGTGGGGCAGAGACAGGAACAGTGGAGTCTCAGGCCCCGTCCGTAAGCACAGCGCCATGCTTCTTCCCCAGCAGGTTGTTCTGTAGTGCCTGCTGAGAGCGCGCTGGTCTGGTGTTCTCATTTTAATACTTAACAACTGATGTGACGTCGTGTTTGTGCACTCCCAAGGCTGCCCAAAAGGATTCTTTGGGAAGAACTGTAACAAGCCATGCAACTGCGCCAACGCTGGCCACTGCCATCGCCTCTATGGAGCCTGCTTGTGCGACCCTGGGCTGTACGGGCGTTTCTGCCACCTTAGTAAGTCCCGCTCGTTTTTCTGATCTGTGCATTTAGCACACGCACAGCATAACAGTCTTAAAGAGATTCTACATGAGGTATAAAATCAGCAAGGGTTTGGGAACTGTGTAGCTCAGCTGACTTTGGAGGGAGAGCTCACAGACTTAAGGTCTGGCCCAAATTTTACATACTGCGATGGACTGAGAATAGTCGAGTGGAGCAGATGACATATGAGACACTGTGGCGAGGCACAGAAGCTTCTCTTCCTCTGGAATTAATTTTGCCATAAGGACTGAGATTTACTAGTGCATAAAGGTGAAGACTATAGCTGAGCTTGGGCTGGGATGGATGTGTGGGCAGGTCAACGGTAGGGTTGTTGATGAGGTTGAATCGTTGACTGAAGGCTGGTTGGAGCTAAGTAATTGGTCTCGATAGGGCTGGAGTGGGAACTGAGGAGCAAGGCTGGCAGGGGCAGGATGAAGGCCACATACAAGCCTAACTAAGCCTCTAGTGCTATTTACCAACGTTTTTGGTTTACGTCAAATGTTGGTAGTCACTCTGTAGTTCACTGATGATAGTTTCTCTGCCTTTTATGGTAAATCAAAAGTAAAAAGCACATAAGTTAAGCTTTTCCTCTGAATTTCTCTCTAAAGAAATTCTTCCCTCTGTATTGACTTCCTACCTGAGCCATCTAAGTTTTGGCCCTGAAGTAGGAATATTTGCCTGTGCTAATTCTCACAAACACCAGCAGTGCTAATAAACTCATGAGTAAAGACAAAATGTTAAAAGAATCAAAGCATAAAAGTGTTACGACATAGATGGTCAAATTTCTTTGCACTTACAGGTTTTGTTTGGAAAATTTATGCAAGACTGAGAAGATAGTTGTGTGTTTTTTTTCATGAAAGCTTTTGTCCTGGAGTGAACCCAAATAGTTTTCATTCAGAAGCTTCAACTAACTTTGCTTTGAAACATACCTGGTTCTTGCATTCACCACAGATTGCTTGAAATCAAATCAATTACTTAATGTAGGAGTCACGTAAACTCTATTTTACACACCCACACATTAATAGGTACTATCATATGAATGGGGATGTACTTGCTGAGGAGTACAATGAACTTTTTTGCTTTACAGCAGTTGCATTCTGCAAAAGTGTGCAATTTTAAATAACTCATGCATAATTACAGAGTTAATGATTCCTTTTAATCTGGCTGCAGCCTGTCCCAGGTGGGCCTATGGAGCGGGCTGTTCAGAGGAATGTCAGTGCGTGAAAGCGAACACGCTGGAATGTGATGCAAGGAGCGGTGCCTGCACCTGCAAACCTGGTTATCAAGGCAAAAAGTGTCAGAAAGGTATAAGAGAAAGCCACGTTCTCTTTTGTCTGTTTGTTCCTTTGTCCTGTATCGTTATTTCTCAGTCTTCCTCCCCTGTGCTTTGTGCTGCTGCTGCTACTAATGTGCTCTACTAATTATTTTGTCTGTGGTTTTTCATGTAGCAAATTCTATGAGTGCTTGATATCGCAGAGCGCTGATATTACAGGGACATCAGCGCGAACAAGGTTTAAGAATATAGTAGTTTTAGCCTGATCAAATGACAACAGAAATTGAGAAACCAAATTGTTATACAACTGAAGATACTGTGAGTTTTCACTTTCCTTCTTCTCTTTTTTTACACGGACAGTAAATTAGTGGGGAAACTGTGTTTTATGACAACAGTATTATTTGTACTGTGTAATGTGACCGTTCTTTCAGGTTTACAGGTCTTTGGATTTTACCTATTCTCTGTAGCTTTCGAGGGTAGTTCAAAGAGAACATTATTCTACATTCATGTCTGTGTGTCTCAGTAGCCCTCTGTAGACAGCAGTGGCGTAATGCAGTAGAGATCCTCCCCTCAGATTCTTCTCCGTACTCTGCGGGCACACAGTAATGTGTCAGATTTATGACACTAGTTCTGGGGGATTTGGATACCTTTAGCATTCTTGCTAATATGCTAAATTCTGGGGGAAAGTGTCCCTTTCCCAGGACTGAATGAAAACAGAGGGCAGCAGAAGGTGTAACAGATGAGAAGAGTAAAGAATTCTGTCATCGCTCGGTACTTGACAATATCCTGACGCCTCCTGCAGCTCTGTTTCTGGGTTATATCTGAGCCGTAACCTCTTGGAAATGTCCATGCACGTGTTTAATAAATGTTTAAACTAAGTTATCAGCACCTCTAAGATACACATTATAATGGATTTTCTGTAAATTTCTGCCAAATTATTTTATGACTTTTGTTCAGTTTTCTCAGCTCTTCCTCCTCCTCCTTGCATATGTTCTGTGTTTATTGCGTTTTTCAGAGTGCCTGTCTGGCTTTTATGGAGCTGGTTGCAAACTGCGGTGCAGCTGTCCTCCTGATGTGTTATGCGATCATGAGACGGGATTCTGCAAGCATCCATGCCCACCTGGTTTTCACGGAGAAAAATGCCTTTTACGTAGGTACTCAATGCATATTTCCCTGGGAGGTACACACTGGCCGGGAAAGCTTAGCAAAGAAACTCGTGTTCAGATACAGAAGTTTCAGGCAAGAGAGAGGCTACATTTGCTGTTGATTCAGGTAGGCAGATCCCACTGAAGCTGAAGTGATATTTGGCAGCGCTAGCCGTCATCCCTGATCCATGATGGAGAATATGTATGCAGGCATAGGGCTGTTGAATTCATCTAGAAAACACAGAGGACAGCTAGATTTCATAGGAGACACGTTGCTATTCCTTTACAGCTGTTGAAGGGAGGCTGTTTTGCTAACCAGCAGTATGGTCTGTTGCTGAGGCTGGAAACTGCTGTGTGATTTTTACATCCCCTCCAATGACTGGTAAAAGATTAAGGCAAGTTACTAATGCTCTTTATTTGGCCAGGTAACCATATTTCTTTGTCAAGCTTCAGGCACAGATTTTTTTTAGCGCTTTCTTGCGCAGTTAGTTACACACCGCAGGTCACTGAGGCAATGATGCTAATGCAGATCACTTTGTACCAACACAGCTCAATTTCAAATTGCTGCTGTTGGTGCCTCCTAATATCTTCAAAATGTTTGGATACACTAACCGTGTCTTTGGGTTTCTTTTGAACAGCTTGTCACCCTGGGAGGTTTGGTGTGAACTGCAGGCAGAGCTGCGGCTGTGGAGATGCACTGTGCGATTCAAAGACTGGGCGGTGTATTTGCCCAGCTGGGAAAACTGGTGCTACATGTGACCAAGGTGTGTTTGACGTTTGGCCAGGGTAGGGAGCCTGCTTGCTTTGGAACCAGGGAAATAAGCTGAATTATTCTGTTCCCGCCACAACTGCTGCCGTGTAGTATGCTTCATTTGCAGAATGGGTAAAGGGTAGGTCTTGGTGTGGAACATACTACATCCAACATGTGCAATCCCTTGTCCAGGGGGAGTGTGGTTCAGTCACCCTGCCTTGTGTCTCTGCCTCAGCTAATAATTGTGATTTGTGTGCTGGGCTGGGTTTATGCAAGATGGGCAGAGATCAGGGCACTGCAGCAGCTCTGAGTCCCAGAGCAGAGCTTGGGATATACACGCAGTGCCTCAGGAGCTGTTGAAGGGCACAGGTCAAAGGCAGCTATCGTGGAACCAGAAAAAAAATTTGGGAGAATGGAGCAATGGATCCAAAACAGAGGAAGGAGCTGAAAAGGAGAGCGTTATTGTAGGTGTAAGTAGAGTAATGAGGAAAGTCTCAGGGACAGTGAGCTACCAAGGGATCTTGGTGTGCCCCTCTGACACTTGTAAATCTCTGGTTGCGTGCTCTGAGGACCATCTGCCCAGAGCAGACCCAAGCTGTGACTCACTGCTTCCTTGAGAGGAAACACGGCAAAGGAGGTAGAGCTGAAGGTGAGACCTGGACTCCACCTCTTGTCCAGTCCCTCTGCTTGGACCATGGGGGAAAACTGGGATGCTAATATATCTGACAAAAGTGCAGAGACATTAATATGTGACAGGCATGTTATGATCTCATTTCACATGAAAACCCTATAGAAAAATGCAGTAATGGTCCATAGAAATTATTTTGTACTAATCACCTTTTCTCATTTTCCAGTGGACTGCCTCCAACTTACGTTATATGTGATGTTCCTGCTGTGTTTCTTTTGTTCCTCAGGATTCAGTGGGACGTGATTTACTTGCACGTGGAAAGAGCGAATGGGAAATTAGAAATCGGCCAAACCAAATTACAGAACTATGAGTGACATACATTTATAACACCAGCTTACCTGGAAATACTGTATGACTATCTTTTCCCCCACTCAGCCAAGCAAAAGTACAAAAACACAATCCTACTCTCCTGAGCCTCCCTTCAGACTACTGTCCTGTTTTTCCATTGCTGAGCACAGTAATTCATTTTTCAGATATATCTGAACGCTCCCAACATTTCTGCATCAGAAACCAAACTGGAAAACACACACATAGCAATGGAAGTTGGAAGAGAGCCTTTGTGTCTATCTTCAAATGTGTTCTGAAGTACTGCAACATGGTGTCATGTTGATTCTTTGGGGAGCTTTATTATGAAGGCGCTGTAGCTCTATAGAGATAGTGTAAGGGTCCTCTTTCCAGCTTAGCTTTGCTATTATTTTTGAGTTTCTTTAAGTAACAGCATAAATCTGTAGTTGTCTTGAAATAGAAATTGGTATTGTGGGCATCTCTCGTGCTTTTTTAAATAGATTGCCCTGATGGTTGGTGGGGATTAGACTGCCAGTCCTCCTGCGAGCCCTGTGCGAACGGAGGACGGTGTAACAAAGAAACCGGAGCCTGTGACTGTCCCCCTGGCTACACTGGGGAATCCTGCTCATCCTGTAAGTCATCATATTGGCCTTCTCAGTGAAAGAAGAAAAAAAAAAAAGAAAGTTAGCTTGAAAATCCAGCTTATGGTTTGATTTTTACCTTATTCCTATTTTACAAGATACTTGTTACATTAGACGCACTGCTCGAAGATAAAGTACGCTTAAGCTTCAAGAATTCCCCAGGTTGGATTTGGCAGGATTTGCCAGACAGAGGGAGATTACAGACAAATGCAGATGACTAGCTAAACTGCCTCACAAAATAATATAATTATTAGGCCTAATCTGTGGATATATTTACTCAGAAATACTGTATATAATAGCCACAATACCTACATAGTAATTCTGATTGCTTGACAAGGGTTGGGCAACCAGCTGGCCCCTATGGCATTACTCTAGGATTATTTTTGCAGCAATACTCCTTAACCTAGCTAATTCAGGACATCATAGTAGTGAGGACGTAGGAGTAGCATCAGTGCTGTCCGGGCAGACCCACCAGAGCTGTTGAGAACAGACTCAAGCGACTGGTCTGTGCTGCTGTGGTGTGGCTGAGTGTTCCCTGAACATAGCTTTATTGAAGCGTGCTTGAGTGTGACTCAAGTGCTTGTAATATAGACAGACCCTCAGAGAGAGCACTCCTTCATGCAAGACGTCGGTGATGGCGTATGTTTTCTCCTTGTTCATCACAGAACGGCTCAGTGCTTTTCATGAACGTTTGAATGTGCCCACCCCTGCCTCAGCTTACCTGTGCTAAGCACTCTTTGCCTTACCTGATTGATTGTGACATTCAGCAGAGGTACCCTAAAGTCTCTCAAGCTATTCCCACTTCACAGGATCCAGCCATAAACACCTAGTGTACACATTGCAGATGTTTCTTTCTCTTTACCTTTCTGATTTCCGGGTGGAAGGTAATGCATGTTTTAGGGGGCAAGCTGTTGCTGTCTCATTCGAAGAGATCGATGGGTGCCTGAGTTATTATCTAGGTGATGTTACAGTCTGTTCATCTGTTTTCAGCCTGCCCTGCTGGTTACTATGGACAAAATTGCCTTCTGTTATGCAGCTGTAGTAGAGGTGCTCAGTGTCACCGTGTTACTGGAGAATGCACGTGTCCCCCTGGCTGGACTGGCCAGGACTGCAAACGTGGTGAGTCACACGTCTGTTCACTGTATGTGCCACACGGTCTCTCTCAGGAACTGAACTACAAATGTAAGTTTGTTCTTAGTCTATTACAGTTTTTTTTAATATACTTTTACTAATCTTACTGTCTCTGAAATGGTGTCCTTATAGGTTTACACAGCCTGGGTGGTTATAATCCTTAATTATCTAGGTTCAGAGTGTTGAAATAGATGGCTGATGAAGTGCAAAGTATTGATATAAGCACTTATTTCAACACTGTGGATCCCTTTGCCCAGTGCCATCTGTCAGCATTTTGACTGACAGTCACTTTTGTTTTTCGTCCTCTGCACAGATTAGTTTTAAGATTAATTCTCAATTTTTCAGTTTGTTTAGGAGAGATTTTTTCAACAAGTGAGTGTCATGTGCACAGTCTTGTGTCTTAATGTCGCTCCCTAACTTGTGAATGTAAATGCTGGGAGAAATTCTGCTCTGTGTAAAAGCAGAGCATCCTTCTGTTGACCTTAGTGTGGTTCTCCATAAGGATGGCAGTGGAAGAGTACAGGTTTGCCCTGTTTGAGTAGTAGCCTATAAATGTTAAACCATCCTGTCTGAGTCTTTCTTTTTCCTTGTTACGTTTTTTTTCTCCTCGATTTGTTATGATCTCTGTTGCAGAAAGCCAACAGTATACAAATCTCTTTCTAAACTTGATCTTGTAAACATAAAAAGGTACAAATTAATTGCAGGTGTTGACAGAAGTAAGTTTTGGACCTGGCTTCCCAGGCTTGGTACTGAGGAAAACTCTGGCAGAATTTGAAGAGTCCACCAACGTGCGTTTTTAAAAAATCAAACCAATTAGTAATATTTGCGACCATTTAGATAACTTCCCGTACATGCCTAGGCTGTCTAACGAGTTATATGATCATGACAAAGAAAAATGTTTGTTTCTGTTCAGGAAAAGAGATGCAAAAATTTTTACAGCCTCTGCCCTCTTCATGAGACTAGACATGTCAGCAAGGCAGCTCAGCTGCCTACCTCCACAAGGCATGAATCAACAAAAATTGTACTTATTTCAATTGATTTGTGCCACATTTCTGCAGCTGAGAATCTAGTCTGCGGTGCCTGTATTTTAAGTGGCCATTTTGCGCCTTTTCTGTTCTCTCATTTAGATGTAAAATTATCTGTTGGCCAAGCCCAATGTATCTGTAAACATTGTTTCCCATTGCAGCTTGTGATAGTGGCCATTGGGGACAAGGCTGTGAAAACACATGTGTCTGCAATAGCAGTGATGGTAGCTGTGATCCAGTCACCGGATCTTGTTTCTGTGAGCCAGGATACACTGGGAAACACTGTGAATGGAGTAAGTTGCAACTTGGTCAATATGGGGAATTTGCAAAACCAAGAAGTGGAAATTGTTTTTCCTTCAAATTCCCTTCAGGAAGACATGTAGGCTGTATTGTCTTTTGTCTGTGGGGAACGCCACATCCCAGGAATCTCAGATTTCTTCCAGGTTAGATAGTTTAACTAATTTGGATTCCAGAAGAGTTATTTTCAGACTTGTTTGGAGTTAAACAGCTATTTTGAATGTTAGGAAGACTTCATGTCAGTGATAGGATTGATATATATCTGACTTGTAGCATAAATTTTTCCGTATCAGTTATATTTATCCAATTTCAGGTATGTGCTTTTTCTTCATAAATCCTTTTTAAGACCAGGCATAGAAATGCTTCTCATAGGCGTATCAGAAGTAAAATCAGAAAGATGTAGGGACCTGTGTTTATTAATATCAAAATTATGGTGGTTTTGCCAAAGGCCCTTGTCCTCCACTAACCTGTCCCTAGCAGTGGTCAATAGCAGATGCCTTAAGAGGATAAAAGTAGGCATATAGATAATTACTGATACGTTTTCCCTGGTTTCAGCCTCAGGGGCTTCTTGAGGCAGAAATAGTATCTCTATGTTTGCTCTACCTTAATATTTTTCTTCCGTTAATATGCCTAATTGCTTTTTGATCCCATGCAAACTTTTGGTATTCGCAGCACCCTGTGGCAATAAATTATGTAATTAAGCTATTTCATTACGTTGTTATTATTATTATTAAACAAAATAATTTTTTTATCTGTCAGTTTAACAGTCTTTCAGTGGCACAGACCTAGCTGAACAAGTCTCAGTAGTGTAGGCAGAATTAATGCTGGTGTCACACAGAAATGTCAAAATAATTAATCTGGAATGGTGACCTGAGACAAAAACCCTGAGAAGTTAAGCTTATAGCTCTTATTGCTGTCAGCTTAGAGGAAGTGGAAGTGCAGTTGGTGGGAAGACCAGCTCCCAGAGAAGTAGATGCCAGCTGCACTTACCTTTCTCTCTTAATCTCTCTCAAAATGGCATCTCTGCGGACAGAAAGTAGCCAGATAGCTGATCCTCACCTCTGTGGCAGAGGCAAAGTAATCAAAGAAGCCATTGCCACCAGGGAAACATTTGGCAACCCCTAGTGTTTTGTCTGTAGGTTATGGGAGGGTTTTGTTTGCTTTTCTCCTCTTTTTGATTCTATATGTATGAAGCACTGATCATAAACGTAGGTCTGTTTTAAGGAGCGAGCTTATGAAAGCCACAATTCTTCCCTAAACATTTTATGCTGCCTTGGAGGCAAGATCTCCATTACCATCTGACAGTTCCTCTGCTCTTAAAGTTTATTTAGACTCTTGCTTAAGGTTAGGCTCATTCTCCTTGCAGCTTTGCAAATCATCTCAGGCTCTCTTGGAGTTTTGAATGTTTCTGGGCATGCATTGCAGCAGAGTGTGCCTGCCGGAGCAGAGGGCAGGTTCTCTGTGTTGTGGAGAGCAGAGTCATTTGTGAAATATCCTGACTGTTGCCATCGCCTTGAAAGTCTTGGCTCGAGGTTAAATGCTTTAGGTTTGAAGAAAGCCCAGTTGAGAGCCCAACGCTTATTACTGCACTGGAAAACTGTTTTCCTTGCATAGCTCTCCCTGGACTTTGAAAATTCAAGTGAAAATAAGCACCAAGGAGAATCAAGCTTTTAAGACCTGAGTACGCTTCTGCGTATTTACTCATTAAAACAGTGTATGCATGATGATACACAGCTTTGGAAAGATGAGGTGATGTAAATGGAATTTTGCACCAATTCAGCTCTGGGACTGAATTTGACCTATAAATGCAGGAACACATGCATTTAAACGGAGACCCATTTTCAGACACAAGCAACGACTGAAAGTAAGGAAGGACTTAAGGTACTTCGACATCTTACCCCAGCCTCTATAAGAGGCCCAGAGGACAGCTCCCGTTAGTAGAGAGTCACTAACATGCTGGAGTGAGCAAATTTCACACCAGCTCCTCATAGTGCCAGCCGGGATACTGAATAGGCAGAATCATACACACCACTTTCTTCCAGACGTAGACTCGTCTTTGAGGATCCTTGTTGTTTTTTGCTCTCTGTGATGCTTTCCAGATTGCCTGAAAAATCATTTTGTTGATATAAATGGTAAAAATCCTACACTTTTAAAGAAACCTGGCAGTAATCTACGTAATTCATTTAGAAGGAAGTTCACAAGACCTTTAAACTTGAATAGAGGCCCTGCAATATTGTGCTTAACCTAAATATATTTCTATATTTCGGCTTTGTCCAAAGCATCTAATGTAAATTAGGTGACTGGCCCAATTCTTAATTGCAATTGGAAGAAATTATGTGCGTGCTCAAGTATTGTTTTCTTCCAGATAGTGAGCACCATGCAAATCTTTTAAAGCTCCTACCATAACTGCTGTGAAAATGTAGTTTCTTAATCTGTCCCACAGATGTAATGTTTTAGCTGGAATTCAATTTAGCTTGAATTTTTGAAAGCAGAGCCTGCAAGTGAAGTATGCCCCTTTCAGTTTGGAGCTTTCCAAAGGAGGTCACCATGTTTTATATTTTCTCCAACCTTCTGGGGAGTCAGGATTGCAAGGAAAAGGGGGATAGGGCTTCAAAAACAGGCCCAGAAGTTGGGAGCCTTACGCCTCCTGGCTGAGGAAGGCCCAGAGGACGCGTGCAAACCAGCAGTTCTAGACCAGCGTGTAAAGAGTCATCAGGCAGAAATACTGAAGTTGCAGGCTTTGCAACTATCAAATGATGTTACTTGTCTGTGTACAATTTACAGCCTTTCAACAACCTGACATTTTTCTAAAATAGATCTTAATAAAAAACAGCCTAACTTTATCTGGACCCCAAGGAGAATACTTAATCATATCAGTTTTAGGTATTACAGTTAAGCCTTGATCCTTTTTTTTGCGAATAGTAAGAGTTCCCATGTATTTAAAAATTCCCAGTTGATCACTGATCTGTTCCAGAATTAACTCATCGTCTGGTTTTGATTCTTCCCCTGCAGGATGCCCCGAGGGAACCTTTGGCCTGGGTTGTGAGTACAATTGTCAGTGCCGGAATGGGGCTGTCTGCGACCATGTGAGCGGAGCCTGTACTTGTGCGGCTGGCTGGACAGGAACGTTTTGTGGAAAAGGTACTGTTTCTCATTCTGCGCTTTCAGTTTTATGCAGAAAGGTTGTGGGTTTTTTTTTTTTTTTTTGGATCGCTGAAGATCTGGTTTTACAATTTGCAGTGCCTGATGTAAATAAAACATTCAACTTCGTTGGAACATGATACGAAAATGTGCATTTGTATCTCAGCGCAACAAAGCATTTAAGTGTGTGCCTAACTTTGGGTTGTGAGTCCGATCAGCATACAGAAATGATCACATGGTTAAAATGAGATATGTGCTTGAGACCCCTGCTGTATCATGTCTCTATGAAGGCTCTCTTCATAGAGTCTTACAGTTTTAGCAGTGAGCAAAAAGATACTTGTCCTGCCTCAGAACTACTTGTTCCTAATGCATCTCTGAAATATTTTAGAGAAAAATATGAGTCTGTGCATCTTCCTGAAAGAACTCCTTAAGAACGCAATCTTCAGTAAACTTCAGTAAATCCAACAGATCATGTATTACCTGATAATTTGGTCAAGCGATGGAAAGGTTGGGCTGGATTTCTTAGATACGTCATTATGTGTTGGTCTGTGGCATATTCTAAGGATGTTGCTGCGTGCTGTAACATTGTACAAATCATAAAATATATTCTTTCCTGAATGCAGCAGAAGTAGCACATATTCAGTCAGATATTCGGAAAATTATTTAGTTTTAAATGATTGAAGATTTTATAAATGATGATCATTAAACCAATGCCGCAATTATTTTGTTTAGGAAGCAGCATTATCCGCTAGCTTACAACAGTAGTGTTAACAGCTACAACAGGGAAATGGTACCACTTGTGTGCACATATTGCCCTCTGATGGAGAGGAAGGTGCTTCACAGCTTTTGTAGCAGTGTTGCAAAACGCGCAATTGATTGGAATTCAGAAAATTGTTTGTTGTTTCCCTTTCATTCTCTCCAGGAATTATTATATGAAATGAATATTCTGTTCAAAGTTCTGCTTGAACCTGTGTGACGTAATTTATGATATCTACGCTATGTTCCTTTCTAAAATGATTTACTTTAACCCTGTTTTCATAATTCTATCCTCTCTTTTGGCTCAGAAACAGAGAAGTTACTGATAAACTAATGCTAACACGTCTTCCTGGAAAATTAATGGCTATATAGTCAGTATGTATGAAAACAGGGCTGTCTTTCCCAAGAACTGTCTCTGTGCAGGTCCTGTAGAGCTTATGGTACCTGGCCAGGCATTATGGAAAAGCTAAGAATCAGAGACTGTGATACTGGGAGGAGGCACAAGAGAATTTCTGCTTCCACCCCACCTTGCACTAAGGACAATTATACCAGAGCCAGCGCTGCCTAGGAGAAGCATTATGTTGGTAGACCATCAAAAGTTTTGGTTTGTCAGCCTTGGAGTGTACTTGTCTCGCCATATCCCCTCCACACAATACCTCCGGCTTCCCTCACGCCCCTCCTGCTTAGCCAATACAGTCTTCCGGCTTCCTCCAGGTCCATTTTTGAGAATGCTTTGACCTGCTGGCTTGGCAGGAGAAAGTACAGGTGTGCCAAGTGGCCCACAGGAAGGTTGACTGGCCAGCGGTCGGCTGAGTAGCAGTCCAGACAAATTGTGTTACTTTTCAACAGCCACGCAAATAGCTCTAGGGCCACAAGAAGCCCTTGAGTTGTCTGTTGTGCAGGCCTGACCTAGATCTTTCGTTACTGATGTCAGTCCAACCTCATCTCAAAACTCTTCAGTCTTTTAGTGAATATTTAGAAAATTATTTAACCTAGATTTACTTACCTGAAAAGTAAACAGTTTTCATTTTTGTTCTTAACACTTTCCTGAACATAGCAAAGGAAAGTTCATTTGTAGCAGCATAGCAAAGGAAAGGGAAAAACAAAGAAGGCCCTTTGTTAAGCTAGTCACATCTAAACACGGTTCTTGTATTTATCTTGATGCGTGTCCTACAACTTGTTTGCTGTTCTGTAGTAGTTATGATGTCGGGAGCTGGTGAGTCAAAATGACCAGTTTCAGTCTGTTCTATAGGAAATTAAGTCATTCAACTTGAGAGGTATTTACTATTTTTTTATAT